ACAATGTGTCTACCTGGTATATATGGTCTATGGTTACAATGTAAGCTTATTTTCCAAGTTATTCTTATTCTCTTTTGCTTGGTTGCAAGCAGTGCCTTTTTTTAAAAAAAATCTTGAGCTGGGTAGCCTTAAAAATATTAATTTAAATAAATGAATGAATAATATAGCTGCAGAAATTATCAGGAAGCTTACACTGAAATTTACAAAGAAGTTTTGAGAAGAATCTTTATGCAAGGCAGAGCTCAAACAAACTAAATACACATGTGAGCAATTTTTCTTGGAATATCTTGCTTCCTTACAATTTTGCAGGCTATTTTTTGGAACTTCAGATAGATTCCCCCCCCCCCCCCCTCCAAGCCATGTTGAGAGTGGCAACCTTGCACTGCCTAAACTACAAATGTAAAGTGCATTAAATCATCTAATTAAAATAATGGTTATTAAAATCATTACCCTTTTGGCTTTACCATGTTCCATCTTCAGTATTTCAAGCAAAGCCAAAGAATACATGCAGAATAATTTCTTTAACGTGTGCCTGGAATTTTTAGAGTTCCAAAACCATTATCAGTATGAAAAATAAAAACTTTACTCACCATGAGATAGTCATAATTGTTCCAGAAAACAGCAAGTTCCATTTCCTTCCGCTTGGATATTAAACGGATATTGTGCCCAAATGGTGCAATCTGAATTCCATTTCTAGTATATGGCAATTGGATTTTACTAGGGACAAACATATACATTTAGACACTTTGTGGAATTGTAAAGGTTCATCTTCAAAATCAAATGATGTAAACTTTATTGGCATTCATATTCAAATGTCACTATATTTTCATTCTCTAATGAGGTAAAATGAACAGTGAACTTCCCAATATGTCTGAACCTAAAACCCAGTGGCAGTCCTAGCCAAGAGAGTCTGGGTGAAGGATGCTGAGAGCTGTCCTTCAGAAACATCTGAAACATTCACAGGTCCTAAAGTGGAAATATGGGATCTTGCAGGAAATTGCAAGTTGTAGTCATATGACATTAATGGGCCAGAGGGCTTTACTTAATGACTGCTGCTGGAATGGACAAACTGCCGTCATAAATTGGGTACAATTACATGAGGTTTTTTTTCATTTTACAACTGTGTCATTTAATGGTGAAGTTGCTGGTCCTGATTGTGGTTGGCTTAAGTGAGGACTCCTCTATTATCATGTGTGGGATATCCCATTGGACAATGATAAAGTTATGACTTTCAGGCCATTTGCAACTCACAACCACCTAGAGGCCTCAGAATGGCACCATACAATATGTATATAGCATCTATATCTGTATCTGTATCTCTATTTGTACCCCTCTCTCTCTCTTACTCCTGCATGCTTTTTATCAAGTGGGATCCATTCCATGACCCTTCAGTGGATAGAAAATGGCTAAAAAGATGATAAATGATTACACACACACACACATGTTTTACAAAAAGATTCAGAAAATCAGCTCTGTGGAGAAGACACGATGTATTTGGATTACATTATAAAAGCTACATACACATATATTTTATGATGCAGTGTTGGCAATTTTATTATCCATTGGCAACACATACAAAAACATTCTTGTTACTCATAGGTAGTTAGCGAAAACTTATACAACAGCATCTTCCACTGAAAGGGTACACAGTGTGGATGCCCTTCTCAGCATCAGCTGCAGCTTCCCAGCACTTTAATGATGATTCATGACAAGCACATTATTTTAAAGCTGAAGTCCAAGGGCACAACTTCATATAAGATGGTGGCCATACTCTTTCAACTTTATAGAAGAACCTTTAGTTTGCAGCAGAACAAAAACCCCTTTTTTTACTGGATGCTTACCCATAATCCTTGACTGATATGCCACTTTTGTCAACAATAATAGTATTCGGTCCCGCTTGAATGATAATTCTTTCAATTGTTTTGTTCAGACCACGACGGAACTGTATGTTGAAGTCCGGAGCGGTTTCATCACAGACGGTAGCAAAGACATAATTACAAGTCCCCGAGAAATCGTACAGGTAATTGTCAAAGGTTGAAAAGTGGCCAGTGCTCCAGGTGGAACAAGAACCCTTGTCCAGAGCTTAAAGAAAGAAAATAGTAATATAATGAGATTCTATGGAGCTTTAGAAATCCAACTAGTTATTTAGATACTGTTTTCACTCTCATTTACAGCTGTCTTTTAAATTTCTTTTGTTTGTTTCTCATCTCAGATTCAAATCCATGATCTACCACATGCAAAGGCAAAATGCCCAGGCACTTTGTCCAGGTGAAATTTTACTGAGCTTTTCCACATAAATGACAAAGCCCCTCCCAATATTTTTAGAATAATCCTTTCAAGGATGGAAACCATCCAAAAATTTGGAGGGCTGAATACCTTGACGTTTGTATAAAGAAGCAAGTTAAGCTTGAATATTACAGATAAGGATGGTGGTAAGGGAAACAAGAACAGAAAGGCCCAAGGAGGCTGAGCTTAAAAGGGACAAGCAAAAAGCCATCTATTTAAGTACAAAGGAAGGGAGATGATAACATTGTAGGAACTGAAGAACGTGTAGTTGATTACTACAGGATTAAGTGCATGAGCAGAGCAATGGGTTGATGAAGGCTGAGTAAAAGGAATGGTTAAAGAACAAAACTGTAGTCTTTTTTTTTTTTTACAATCAAAATTAATTTTAACAAAATGTAAAAAAACAACAGTCCCACAACCCAATCCTTAAATAATGGAAAAAGAATTGTTCTTAGAACGGGGGAGACTGTATATGCTGTATTTGATCTTAATTGTTACTCAAAGGCAATGAAATACTGGTCTTACAGAAATGGAAACAGAAATACCTGAGTGATGTCCATCTAAACTTCTCTGCCCTTCTGAATGGGTCTCTGCAAAAACAGAAAAAAAGAAGTATGGATTGTGTTTGCACATATCTGTATGAATTTCCTATGTTTCATGTCAGCAGAAAGGAAAGACTTTCTTCCATTTGATGCTCTCCAGATGGATCAGGAAATTTTGGGACTTGTCATCCAAGTCATTGGGAACAGAGCTGGTTTAGAGAAAAGTTGGGTCACAACAGCAACTGAATGTTCATGATGACCATATGATTTGCAACTAGTTTTGACTCGGTCTAATTCCCTGAAATATTCCTGAATATACACTATAATCTAATACCAATAAATAGTATACCCAAGGATAATAACACACACAACACAATACAACATAACATAACATATCCTGAAACTGAAGTTTCAGAAGTTATTTAAGAAAGAAAATTGGCAGAAAAGAAAGATTGACTAATATAAATGTTAGCAATCATTCTAATATAAAACGGAGCTTAATTCAGGAAAAGAATTTTCAAGGTTCCACCCTACCATGTCTGCTTAACCTCACTATATCACTTTGTGGTTCTTCATCACCAACGTAAATACAGAGAGTTAAAAAGCCACCACAAGATTATACTGTGGGAAAGAGTAATTGTTGCACAACTAAATTTTACACGATATTGATTTAAGCATATAATTGAATGGGATGGACTGATGCAATGGAAAATTACATCTTGCCATTCAGGGACTAGAAAAATCTAATTTTCCTGTTGGCTCATTCAAATATTTTAAGAGACACAAGAGTGGAACAATAAGAAATAGCATGCCACATATTTTCCTCATCATGGTGTTCTAGAAGAAAAAACCTTGAATCTACTAAGATTTCCGTGTTGTGAAAGACACATTATTTATTAATTTATAAATGCATTAAGATGCTGCAACCCCAGGCCTGGATTTGTTTATTTTCAAAAATATTTGCCCATTAAAGTGGATTAGCCATGGATATATTTAGAACACAACAGTTGTTTCCCTGTGCTACTGGGCATAACTTGATATTTTGTTCCAGTTACCATTTCTGTTTGAGGAAGATATTTCAATTTTCAAGTACTTCCCTATGGTTAAGTCAGGTATTAAATCACAATAGGTATTGTGACATAGTTTATATATTACATATATAACTTCCTTGAGAATGAAAATAATGAGCATTTTATATTTATGTCCTGAGATTTTCATTCATGAAGTTCTTCTGAAAGTGGTTTGAAATCTAATATGGAGTTTTATTTTTGACCATATTGACTTTGAAACATGTTATGATTTCAAGAACAAATGGGACCTGGCTTGGTTTGGTTTTTGAAGAATCTCAACCCTTAGAAAGCAATAGAGCTTGTTAAAGACCATTTGATACCACCATAATGAGACCCTTTCAAAATGCCTAGTTCTATATGTTATTTTCTAACTTTTCAAGACTTGATTAGGAAGTTATGGACTCATAGCTCCAGTCTCATCCTATTGAACAATGTTTTTCAGCCTCATCAACTTTACGATGCATAGAACAACTTCCATGATTCTCTAGCCTGCATGAAGAATTCTGGAAGTTGATATCTGGATGGGAAATGTTCAGAGTTGAAGTCCAATTTAAATTTGCTGAAATTGAGAAAAACTCTATAGAACAAAACAGACAAATTTTGTCCATTTTACTTCTGGAAATATTGATAGAGATATGAGAGGGTTGTGGGGCTAATGATTAAAAAATAAATGCATAATAAATGTATAAGTTATGTGTTCTTGCAGATGACTTGGTATTGTTCCCTTTAAAGGGAATTGCAATATTAATGGACAGATTTAAAGAATTTGTGCTTTAGTAGGTTTTAAGATTAATAAACAGAAGATGAAGTTAATAAAAATATGAAAATAGAAGATCAACCAGCTGATGAGTCAAAGCTTTTAAATTTGAGAAGAAGATAAAACATTTGGGTATCATTATGACAACTATGAGCTATACATTATTTCAAAATAATTATGTTAAGATGTAGGGTGGAGTTAAAAATATATGTCATGAGAGGGGAAATTACAATTGCCATTGCTGGGGAGAATTTTGTGATAAAAATGAATGCCTTACCTAGAATGAAATTTTTGTTTCAGACAATACTTGTTTTGACAACTGATGCACCCTTTAAACAGTAGCAGAATGATACATCTAAATTTGAGTGGCAGGGGGAAAATCACAAGAAATATATTACACGATGCTAGGAATGAGAAGTATTGGGTCTACCTGATTTGAATTTTTATTTTGCAGGTTGCTGTTTGGTTTCAGTACAACTGTGAAATAGAATTAGGACATGACCTGAGATTTGGTGGCATGGATATTTGTGGTGATAAGTCAATATGGATTTTAAAAACCATTATGTTAGATGAGCCATATTGAAAATATTAAAAAAAAAATACAAATCCTGATTGGGCCTGAAAGCACCTCTGTGGCTGTCAGCACAAAAAGCATATTTCTGACAAGAAATAATAAGCAAACACAAATGGTTAATTGATTGGGAGATACTAGGATTTTCTCAAGGGGAATGTAAAATAAAACCAAGAAAAGAACTAGCATCAGAAGGATGTAAATGTCAATATTTCTCTTGTTTACAATTGTTAGAAAGATTAAAAGTTGGCAAAATCATTTATGGTTTTGATCACCGTAAGACTGAGTTTGAAATAGAATTGTGTACAAATGATCAACATGTAATGACTAAAATGTATAATTTTTTTTATTGAATTACGAAACAGAAGAAGCAGGAGTGAAAGACTATGATAAAAAGGACAAAAAATGGTTATAATATAAGATGGAACAATGGGAAAATATGTAGCTGAGAGGATTGAAGTTTACATTATGTTATAACCTTGAAGAGGATTTTTATAAGATGTCTAGAAAATCAATGACCCTGTCATTATTTCAGAGATAATACCTTAACAGATTCCTCAACATTATCAACTTGGCACATTTTCTAGTGTACTGGAAAAGTTCTTAAAAATTAAGGGAGATTTTCAGAGATCTTCTTGAAAATAGTCCATATTGAATGATGCATAGTGCAGTCAAACATCAGGAGTTAACTATAAAAAAATGTTTTGTGACACGGTCACATGATTTGGATGCTTGACAACTGACTCACATTTATGATGGTTGCAATGTCCCAGCATCATGTGACCATCTTTTGTGATCTTCTGGCAAGCAAAGTTAATGGAGAAGCCAGATTCACTTAACAACCATGTTACTAATTTAACAACTAATTTAAGCAGTGATTTGCTTAACAAATGGAGCAAGAAAAGTTGTAAAACGGGGCAAAACTCACTTAACAAATTTCTCATTTAGCCACGTAAACTTTGAGCTCAATTGTGGTCATAAGTTGAGGACTACCTGTAGCTTCAAGTGATCATTCTGATCTTATTTCAAATTTCTTCCTGTCAAATACTTTGTGATCTCAAGCTGAGGCTGTTGTAGCAAAATGCAACCCCATTTAGTGGAAGGAGACAATTCTATATATCATAAAGACATTTTCCACCTCAAGAACTGAAGCAAGAAAAAAGCCACTAAGATCGACAACAAGTCCTATACTGTCAGTCAAAATGTACATTACATTACATTTTGTAATGTAAAATTGTAAACACATAATTAGAAACTTTCAGTATGGAAACAAAAGGTAGACTAATAGCCAAGAAAAATAGAACAGGATGACTGTTTTGTTCAGGATAGGCCTGAAACAGTTAGTTATTGCAGATAAATGCAGTTATTGTTGCCATTTGAAGGCAAAGGCAAGGTTTTCTCAGTAGAGGGCAATGGTTTTAGTAGGTTTGCTGTATAACATAATAAGAAGCAGAGATGCTTCAGGTACAGAAATGTTATGAAACTAAACACAGATGAAGAAACCACAACGTATGTTCCCGTGAGTGACATGAGGCCACAGACAGTTCACATTTGAATCTTTCACCTTTACTGTTGCCACTCCAGATAAGAATAAATATTTTACATGAGAAAAATATACTGATATATAAATACAAAAGTTGATTTATATTGATAAATGTTATTGAATATTTCCACAAGATTTTTTAAAAAAGAGCAATCTGGTGTGGGAATGGGCTTGCTTTCCACAAAGGATTCAGGACCTAAGAAATCTATTCTGGGTTAAGTAATTGCCTAAGAAAGCAAGTGATAATTGGAAGACAGAAGAATGAAATTTTAGGGACAGATTGATCTTAGGCATTTTACAAAAGGCTTTCTTTCAGTGATGGGAACAATTTTATCTTTAGAAGTTGCTCAGCAGATGTTAAGGTATTCAGAGCTGTCCTGATATAGGACCAAGAAAAACGATAGATTAGGCCTATACAACTGGTAAATTAAAAATAATCACAGAATAATAGCTCCTTGCCAATAGCTATTCGGTGGCAAGTGGAATGGTGGCATAGATAGAGTAGTCATGAGTGATGCCCAGCAATGTGCTTTTTTGGTGTGACGTCTGTGGCAGAACCTTTATGGTGCTGGTGACATTTGGTGGTGGTGGTTTTATTGAGCTTTCAAAAAATGCTGGGGTGAGGCACATGGCCGCTTTACAGGGTTGTGTGTTGTCCATGGTCTGTCTGTTATGGAAAGTTGCCTGCTATGGAAAGTTGCTAAAATTGCCTAGCCAATCAAGGTTAAAGCAAAGTAAACAGAGCTTCATAGCAGTCACCAGTATTCCTGAAGGCATCTAGACATAGTTTCATGTGAAAGATAATTTCAGAGAGCATAATTGTTCTGTTAAGGCAATTGAATGGCTCAAATATAAAACCAGAGATAATTCTGCAGCCATTTCCTGTATTTGACTAATGGTAGCTACAACATGTCTTTGTGGGGACAATTGTGTGCCACGATGATGCCACCAAATCTCTTTGCAGATCAATTGGTGTGTTTTAAAGCTGATCTAGAAACTGATTTAAATGTGATTTTTGAATCAATCTACATAAATTTCCAGAGCTTGGCTTGTTTTCGGCTGACTGCTGCAACTGATTACTGACCAAGCTTTAGCAGAAATATTCAGTGCTGTCCAAGATGCTGAACAGTCAATATCCCAGTAGAGAAGC